GTGGCTGCTACTGCTGCCATTATGATTCCTCAGATATTTTGTGCAGGAGTTTTGTTGCATTCAGGGACGGGGGTGAAAAGCTTGTTCACAATGACAGATACAGATGAATAAGATGAGTAAGATTTCTTCCTATTTGGTGGATGAGTCAGTTTTCTGAACACACAACTCAAACTATAAAAGTAAATCCACACTGCTTTAAAAAAAAAAAAGGGATTTCTATTGCACAACCTTGAAAGGGGGGAGGGAATAGAGATTTTAAAAAGATAATAAACCACTGATGCTCTTCTGCTATTGTCTGTTGCGATCATGTGCATGTTGAACTGTGCACAACGGAGCCATTTTCATTTTTATCAATAGCATGTAGCTGCGGAGAAGAGGACCCTTGAGGTCTTGAGTGTTTACACCATGGGAAGAGGGAAAAAATGAGTTATCAGATATTTTTAATGAGAAACAACAACTGTCCTGACTTAAATTTCAAATCAGAGATGTTAAATAATCACATTATATATAATTAGTCCAAATAAAATACCTTTTTAGAGATTGTCTGACGTCTAAAGGAAAGAAATGTGATGTCTTTTGTCAGAGGTGGAGTTGAGGTCAGTCGTGCTGGCAGTCAATTAGTGACGTGGACACCAACAATGTTATTGTTGAACTTTTTCTCTGCTTAAGACTGCTTGGTAATGAAATGAGGAAAAATGGTGAAAAATACTACGTAAATGGAAAATTGGCACAAAAAATAGGAACAACCCTCCTGTTATCATCACATTTAATAACAAGATTTAAAGAATTTATGTTATTTATAGGGATAATTGGAGGGTTAAAAAAAATCGGTAACACTTATAGGGAACACACAAAGTGAACATATCCAAGCACTTGATTGTAATTCCTGTACAACAACTTCCCTACTTACCATCAATTTAATTATGAGGTTGAGGTTATTAAGGGGAAACTGTTAATCAATGGAGTAGTTGCAGAATAAGGTCATTAAGAATAAGGCAGTGCTTTATAATGACCAATTAAGAGCCAATATGCTTCTAATATCCATGCTAATAAGCAACTAGTTAATGGTTGATATGTGTTCCCTAATATAAAGTGTTACCAAAAAATCTATTATCAAGGTAAGTGACATATAAAGATCTTGTTTTTAAAATAGAATATCAGCAGCATTAGAACAACTGTAAGGAACACATAACAGTCCTTTATTTCCAAAAAGCACCTATAAACAGTATATTTGAGCTTTGGTGTAGGACAATCGCTGAACCCACTCATCCCATACATTGTGTATTGCTGCAGGTTTGTCATGGTCTTGTCAGACCTGCCTTGTTGCTCTGTCATCAAAGTGTGTGACAGGAGAGAAAATGTGGAATGGCTTAGTGGCATAGACAGCTGAGACTCACTGGTGATTGATTGAGTGTGTGTTGTCAGCTCTTCAGCTAAGCCTGAGTTTCTCATTGTCTTTAGCTGAAGCCTGCAGACTGAAGCAGGTGTCAGACAAGTTGATTGGATGTTTTATCATCCCCTGATGATTATCTGTTTGAGCAATGCAGTTTTGCTGCACAATCGATCATTTATTTGAACATTCTCTGCCCTCATTTCACTCATATGACACATAGTGGGCATGCTCTCAGTTTGGAACAAATTCTTTGTGTTGCACATTTTTTTGCGAACAGGACTTTTCTATATAACATCTGTGATGCTTAGCATATTTCTAAGGTGACTGTCAGAAATGTGACTCTTGCACTGAAACATTTACCTTACACATTTGCCGTGTTCCCAAGTCAGAGTCAGAGACTCAAAGAAGATTTCCAAAGAATAACAGGTATCTGTCTAAGCAAAAACTACATTACATTACATATCATCAGATATATATATATATATATGTTAGGCTTAAAACACGATGTAAATGACCGTGTTCCGAGTCAAATATGAATGTCGCGGCTTACAGACACTTGGGTGACACCACACGAGCAGCATGGAGGCGTGTTATGTTGTTTTTCTGTTATCTGAACAATAGCTATCCATTGACTTCAACTGCATCACTGTATCACACTTTATCCACCCCTCCATCGGCATAGTAGTCAGTAGATAATGAGTGCATTTTCATTTTTGGGTGAACTATTCCTATAATTAGGTAGGGTAGGCTAAACAATATCACAATAGCTTGTAAAGAAATTCTACCTGTTTGAACTATATTTTTATATTTCGTCTTCTTCTGCACATAATATTAAACACACGTACACACACACACACACACACATATATATATATATGTACTGTATGTATAAATGTTGAATAAGCAGAATACTCCAGATCAAACCTTTTTCAAAATAACACTCGCTAACACGCATTAACTCCAGATCCAGTCACCCTCACACGCTAATCACCTCATTCCCTTCACCTGAGTCTCCCCACACACACACTCACCTGCTCTCCATTCCCTCTATAGTTCATCTGTGTATTTACACCGGTCAGTTCCATTCACTCTCTGACAGATTATGTAGTGTGTTCCTGCCTAGCTATCCCGCGTTATAGTCTGATTCTTGCCTGCCTGTTCCTGACCTGATTGTGATCCCGTTTGGATTCCCATCATACCTGCCCCTTCGGATTTGTTTGCTATACGGACTGATATCCTGGTTTTGACCCCTGCCTGTCTAATTCTGCTCTTCTGTGAATAAACCATATTGACTACACTAACACTAAATTTTTTTGTCTGTTGTCGTGCTCTTGGGTTCAGTTCTGTCTTTAGCCTTTACAAATGAGAGCAGTTATAGCCTCAGGCCCGGCTGTAAGGGGCAGTGACACTTGCTCTTGTGGATTGTAGCTGTAAGAAAGGAGATGTGCATGTAAAGCCTGCAAGTCTCAGCACAGTCAGAGAAGACTTAGTAGATATGTGAGATAAGGGATGCATTCATCACAGGCCTGAAGGGTAAAAACAATGCTTGGTTGGGAAATGTTGAACGTAAACAACACTGCATTTGTTGACAGTTTGCAGGGTACCTTAATGATCACACGCTTGTGGTCTAACAGTGGCCTGAGCCGCCCTGATGTTTCCATCACACTGAGCTATATTTACCATCATAGACACACTCTCTGACCAAAAAAAGTTCAGCTAAAATCCTCTTTGGTACCATCACCAAAATTGTGGCACGTTTCTCCTGGTCACCTGACTGCCAGAAGGATTATTGTCATACAGACTACTTGATAAGGTGGTGGACTGAAATTGGGGCTTTAACACTATTATATATCAGGTATCACGTATTTTGTCAGGTCTCTGGTTGCATAACTGCAATTTTCTAAACATTTGATGCTTAACAGTTTTGTGGGCATATTGCTGTATATATCAAGGGTATTTCTCCTTTTCTTTGTATGGATATGTATGTGTTAATGTCTTTTACTTGGTTTGAGATGTTTCTTCTTTCTTCGCTTATCCAGGTCAATTTGAAAAAACCCTTGTTACTAAACATTTGTGAGGGATTTAACTATCATAAAAAAACAATAAACTGCTATCACTAAATTAATTTAAAATGCCAGAAAACATTTTTTATTGTAGCCTGCATATTCATTCATTATACAGGCCGTATGTTTGCAGTAGAATTCCCCTGTTGGTGTTGTGTATGTTATGACTGAGCTGTGTGTTTGCAGCTGCATGTTAATCACAGGCATCATCTGCGACAGGCCGTCTGGACAGTGTGGGTCAAGGAGTTAGACACTCATGATGGATTTGTGGTCTGGTGTGTGTCTCAGAAAACAAATGAATATTCCCATAGGCTGCATGTTATTTGATCTATAAGTGAAACTTTGTCTTTGATTTGCAGTTATCAGGTTTGGTTCAGGGTTTTCAGTCCTATGAAGCATGTTCACTTCTTATCAGGGTAAATCTCCATGGTAACTTATGCTGAACGAATAAAGTGCTCCAACGCAGGTTAAGTTGGAGATAAGAGATGTATAAAAGCTCCACCCACAGACCAATCAATTCCTTTAAAACATGACATCACCGTTCTTCGAGGATCCTGTGGAGCAAAAAAAAAAATTAATAAAACAAAAGGAGCTTGGTTTGGATTGTTAGAGGGTCTCAGAGGAGGACAGGGGTCTTCAGAGACAAAATCCCTTTGCCTATACCACTGAGAGAATAGTTCAGTACTGTCACCCCCTTTTCTGTTGTTTTATTACATCTGAAGATAGGTCACTAATCACTTTAATTGTATTGGATTCTGCTCTAGCAAAGTTCACCCCTGAGACTCCAGAAGTGTTTTGTGGACTCAAACACTTCACCCACCCCTCCATCGGCATAGTGGTGAGGAGATAATGAGTGGATTTTCATTTCTGGGTGAACGATTGCTTTACATTTTTGGAGCTGGGTATTTTTTCCCCAAATGTTGCCAGGAGCTTCATGATTCATTCACCTGCATTTAGCAACTGTAACACTATCAGTCTGGATAATATGTTTGTTCTCTTGTATTTTTCTAACATAACAGTTTGCTCCCCGTCTGCTGTCTGTTCACTTGTCCATGTCCTTGATTGGTAATACGCAGTAAACACGACCACTTTCCTGTGCACACGCTCAGATTTTGATGAACAGATCTAGGTTGATTTAAGGAGTTGATAACCAACTTTTTGCAGTTGTTAGGTTAAGTTCACCCGGATATCGAAAAGATATCCTGCGTATGTTGAACTCGCTGTTGTTGAAGCATGAATAAAGGTATGCCATGATAAACCATGATGCACTGGGGCCATAAAAATCACAAGAAAGCAGCAATTGAATCCATATCAATGAATTCTTTATGATGTATTTTTAATATGGTGGAAAATAAAAAATGTGATTAACATGGAGTACAGCTCATGAGGTCCCTCCCCACACACACACACACACACACGATGATGATACGAGCCAGATGACGCACCGGACACACTGACTGCAGACGGGCTGTGTTCAGCTGGAGCAGACGACCTGAGGACCGCTCGCGTCTTCTCTCTCCTCGAGGACAGATGGATGTGACACCAATGACTTTTTTTCCCTCCGATGAAGACAGGTCACCAATTGTCTGTTAAACCAGTTTATTCGCCTTTACGATGGATATTTACGCCTCCACTTTATCACCAGCGCTGGACATCTTTGTTGGCTGTTACATGCTGGTTGTAGGTAAGTTGAGAGCCACGCGTACATTCAGTCCCAGTATTCAATTAAATGGGATATAAAGGCACTCGGGGGCTTTATTCTACTGATCCATTGGTTTCAGTGTGGATGGACACATTCATTCTTCATGACTTGAAAAACAAACAAAAGAACAAGCAGTTGTTTCTACTTATCCATAATCCATTTTACGCACACGAATTCGTCAGGGGGAGGAATATTGGATGATACATTTATCCGCAACTGATCATGAGGATGAGATGGAAATAATTCTCTTTCACACATAAAGAGCTACAGCCCAGACAGATCCTTGAAGGTGTCCCCTCGGTTTCATCAAGTGAATTAAAGATGCGTAAACTTCATCCAATTGAGCACAACAGAGAAATCTACTCACAGATCCACACTATATAGTCTTTATTGGACTTTCAGTTAAGATTGTCATATAGAGAAGGAAAATCAAAACCCCTCATGTTGTCTGTGAAGAGCAAGAGGATGTTATATGACTATGGTGTTTCAGCCAGGGCTTGTTTACACTTGAATGCTGTGCAACATTCTTGCTGTAATACTTAATGTTTCTATGCCACATTCATTGTCACCTCACACTGAAGGCATGACAGTAAATCTAGGTGCATTCTTCAACAGCTTTCACATCCATGTCTCCATATGAGTGCTCTCACTAGATTAATACCATGGAGCAAGCGCCCAAGATGATAGGAACTGCCTTCTAAACACAACCCTATTTCACACATGATAGCTGTCTTCAACTTAACGCAGAACAATCAAAAAAAAGAGGGGGTGGATTTACAGTGTAAGGAAAGTTGGAGGTTGTACATGATTTTTCTTTCATATTGCATATTTTGGGTGGAAGCCCGAGCCCTACAAGTTCACAATATGTTATAATAGAGTGAATCTTGAATTCTGGCCAAACAGAATGTGTGTAAGAGGGTGACAAGCAGGGAGAGAGCTGGGTCTTGATGCAGAATCTGTGGGGCAGAGTAGTAAAGGTTCATTATAGATTATGTGATACATTTGTTTTCATGATGTGGTCAGTCAAGGGTCAACATTCAAATCCAATCTAATGTTAATCCCTGCTGATTTCTTCGTTATCCCCAAGGACGACTGTAGTAGAAGCTGACCTGTAAAGCACTGACAAGAAATCAATATTTCAATATTTCAATGTTTCATTTTCTAAAAATTTGAGACATTTAATCTCTAGAATACTACAGTGAAATTATACAATATATGTACATATATGTATACAGTATATATAGCTCATATTATTTTATACACATATTGATATTGTATACCATACCCACAAAAATGCTTAACAGTCTATATATATGCATATACATCTATTTCAAGGTCTCCTTATAAAGTGCATCTACATCCTCATACAATCATCCTGCAACACTATACTTTACTCAAGTACATCTTTCTACAAAAAATATTTCCATCTGTAGTAGGTGTATATGATGCATACATTATCTGTACTTGAATTTTTTTGCCATTGCCATTTTATTTTATTCTCTTTCCAACCTGACCATCGGCTGCTGAAACAAGTGAATTTCCCTGCTGTGGTCAGTGTTTTACAGCACCAGGGGAAGATAGTTCTAGTGATTTAGGGGGAAAAAGCTGAAACGCTATGAGCTGTGGTGCATGTGTCATTCTGAACATGAGAGAAGATAATTAAATGATCCAAGCAAGAAAAATACTTTTCTTGGAAAGCAGGAACAACGTGATGAAAATAAATCTGTCTGTTTACTGCTGTGACACTATGATATGAAATCCAATTGTTCTCATACGTCTCAATATTTTTATAATACTGTCAACGATTACTGAGGCGTGTCAGTTATTTCACACCTTGTTAGGATATATGATATATGCATAACCTGCTTTTTAAATTCAACGAAACAGATATAGACAATTCCTGCATGGCCAGCTTTTATAATGTCTCTGAAAATTTAACATGGGAGATTTAAGTCATATCCATTTTAACTTTTCTTTAAAATGTCATGCATGATACACTAATAGAATTCAATCAGAGATTATGTGAACTTAAATAAAACACATGTGAAGTACTTTGAAGCACAAATGCACGAGTTACAGTGACATAACAGTAGGTGGGGCTGGAAGAATCGGATTTGTGTGTTGTAATGAGCCTTCAGACACGTTCAGAGGGGCTAGAGGTGAAGAGTCATTACATAGCTCACCCCCCTTCAGTCCTCTGCTGCCCACAGAGACATGAATGCATAACAGTTAGGCTCTCAGTGTGGAACTACTGATCCAAGTCTTTAGGATGAGGCAGACCCCTCCTCAATTTGTTAGCACAAATAAGACAGGGGTTCGTTTTAATGATGAATCCAATACTCTCCCCCTCCTCTTGACTGCAACACCCATCCCACAACATATGGTCAATTATGGTTGAGCCCTGGGTTTCTGCAGATTTTAACAACTGAAGACTTATAAGAACTTTAGGGGGCAATAATGAATGAAATTGAAGATCTCTGTCGAGTATGATACAAATGAAGGAATATCAGAGTCCCAGAATTACTCACACTTCCCAATAATGGAAGATAAGGTGCAGTAGCCAAGTAGAGAATAGGAACAAACAGCCTGAGTACCACAATAAATTCTGACCAAGGTTTCGTAGACTTTGTTGCAAATTATTCTGTTACTATCGCAGCATGTTAACAACTGTTCACTGAAACTACTGTGCTTTGTGACCCACTCTTCCACCCCTTTCTCTCTCCTCACCATGTCCATCTCAGCTGTGTTGTCCATCATTGGAAATGTCTTGGTCATCGTTATGGCTTTCAAAAGGTCATCGAGGATAAAGCCACCAGAGCTGCTGAGCGTGAATCTGGCGGTGACCGACCTGGGAGCTGCTGTCACCATGTATCCCCTGGCCATGGCGTCCGCATGGAGCCACCACTGGCTCGGGGGAGATGCCACCTGTAATTATTACGCCCTGGCAGGATTCTTCTTCGGCGTCGCCAGCATGATGAACCTGACCATCTTGGCCATCGTGCGCTTCATCGTCTCCCTCAACCTGCAGTCTACCAGTGAGTAGTTCAAAACACACTCTTTTTTTTTAATCAGCAAGTTAGGTTTTTAATATGTAAATATGCATTAAAGGTGTATCAGTAAGAGCTATCACAAGGGTGTAGGCATGTTTAACTGTCATGTCGTGAAAAAACATGGCCCGCTCACTGAAACACTGTGTGCTGCTCTTTATGTGTATATATAGCACACATATGCACCCACATGATTAAGTAGATGTAAGCAGATTCAGTGCATGCAGAAAGATATAAAAACCGTCAAATTGTCTGGTTCACAACATCATCCATGACTCCCTGCTCAGATAATGAGACATAGTTAAATTTGCATGCATGAGCTAATTTTCGAGACAAAAAAACCCGACACAAGACACAGCTCCTCCAAAACACCTGCTGGATGGAGAGCAAAAAATGTAATGTCCCATGTCCGTGTGTCATGAGAAAAAAATATTGGAGTCCTGTGTTGTCCCCCAGATTATTATTATATCCAGACGGCCTAAAAGAGATCCTCACTCTTCTTAACCCGACGTACCATGTGTGCTCAGCTTTCTATAGAGAAGAGCAGCTTATTGATACTCCAGTAGGTCAAAGTATATTTTATTTTGAAATCAAAGTAAATTGGATGATTGCACCAATTGTCACATTATTATTTTAGTTTAGCTTATTGTGGCAGTTGACCACTAGGGTCCCCTCCAGTTCCAATCAGGGTCAGAATCCTGGTAAAGAGACATTATTAGATGATTTGGTACACAGGGATTTGTGAAATATGCAAAGATAAATATAGTAATAAAAAGTTAATAAAATGAATATGGAATGGAGCTTTTTCTCTGACTTGACATACAGATGTATTTGTATAATATAAATATACTGTATTTTTTCATCTCGACCAAGCGTTCCTGCAAACGTCCTTGCAGATATGATTACTGACTATCTCTGCATTTAAGCTGCTTCACATAAGTGCAATATTGTCTATAATGTGCAGCATGACAAAGAAAGGAAACAACTCCTCTGTTTCTTTCTGCAGAGGAGAAAATCAGCTGGAAGAAGGTGAAGATGCTTTGTGTGTGGATTTGGCTGTGGGCACTGATCTGGGCTCTGTTACCTCTGCTGGGCTGGGGTCGATACGGCCCGGAGCCCTTCGGATTGTCCTGCTCCATTGCCTGGGGACAGATGAAACAGGAGGGCTTCTCTTTCATCATCTCCATGTTCTCCGCCAACTTCGTCATACCTTCTGTCATCATCATTTGCTGCTACTTTGGCATCACCATCAAGCTCTACTTCATCTTCAAAAAGTCCATCAACCCCACCCAGGTCCCAAATATTGTCAAGGTGCACCGGAGGATGATGATAGTAAGTTAATATAATGAGAAAAATCTATTACTACAGGCCTGGGGACTCACAGTGTCTCCTCAGTAGTAGATTGTAGGAACAATGGACTGTTATTTAATATAATTTTATGGGCATTTTGAAATTCCATGTTGCTATATAGAGCATAGGTTTCAACTGTTAGTTGGGAAATTAAAAAAAAAATGAAAATAAAATGTCTGGATCTGTTCAAGAGTTTTGAAGGAAGCCTGCTGACAAACAAGCTAACAAACAAAAGTGTTCCTTGCCAGAATCATGTCATTAAATGGTCAGTGATCGGTTTGGGCTCCTTCACATTCATGTTACCACTTGGATACCTCAATTAACTGATATGGATTTTTCAGGGCTGACGCTGATACCAATATTAGGGAGTAAAAGATTTCTGATACCGTTATATATGTGTAAACATTTATATATTTTAAAAAAATTGTCAGTGGTCTCCAACATGTGAATGTCATACTCTTATGATAAATCAATGTAATTGAGGCTTGATATTGTACTGGTTTACCATAAACTATAACAAACTCAACATAAACTATAACTTAAATATCTATAAATATAAAGAAAACACAAAGACAACCAAATATAAATATACAGAACTTGACGTATATTGCCCAGCCAATATATCATTCAGATTTTAGCTTTACCCACTATCCAGTTCTATTAGCTATGCATATACTCAGAGTACTCATAAGTTATCTTTAGCATTATTTAGTATTTTGTATATTTAGCCATTACCCATTACTTTTGGGTGTCCAACTATCTATCCATTACTGTACTTTACTGAACTTTACTGTTCTCCTGCAGATCGCTGTCCTGATCAGCGTCGGCTTCATAGGCTGCTGGGTGCCCTACAGCCTGGTGAGCCTGTGGTCCATTTTCCACGACAGCAGCACCATCCCGCCTGAGGTCAGCCTTCTGCCGTGCATGTTTGCGAAGAGCTCCACTGTGTACAATCCCATGATTTACTACATCTTCAGCCAGAGCTTCAAAAGAGAGGTGAAGCAGCTGCAGGGGCTGTGCCTCAACTTTAAATGGTGCCACGTTGCCAACACCATCAATGACAACACCATTTACATGGTCAGTGCCGACATCAGGCCCAAAATGGCAGCACGGTCTGAGCTGATGGAATAAAGCGTGACTTCGGGTTGAAAGACTTTCCTGCTGTAAACTATGGACCTGCTATTGGAGAAGTTACTGCTTTAAGTTTTGTAATTTCCTGTGTACTGCACATGTCGATTACACAGCACAATGTAAATGAGACAGACACACAGACTTCAAGAAAACACAGTACAAACCAAAGGTTGTACAGCAGAAATGGACAAAAATACTTCACAAAGTGAATGTTACATCTGTAGCTATTTTTTTGTGTGACACACAATCAAAATTGAAAAGGAAAAATAAAAACAGCTGAAAGTGGATCATGTTTTATAAATATCCCTCCAAGAAAACTAATATTGTCCATGTTGTCTAATGGGTTCTTGAAAGAAGGCAGTATCACACAGATAATTGTTGTTGTGTGTCACAGTATGAGACATATTTGTCTCGTATGTTAAGTTTCATATGGAATGTGAGTATGTTATACTTAAAGGATAAGACTGCCATTACTTTATTTTGTAATTATTAATCAAAGAATTGTACCAAAAAGTTAGACATTTCCTCTAGTGTGTCATATTGTTTTTTTGTGAATGTAGAAGATCTGTAAAGTTAAAAAGCCTAAGGTTGGAGTACAGGGAGCTCCTCTCCTCCACAGAAAACACTGCTCTGGAGTCAGACAGGCAGAGAAGATGTGCTTTTCAGCTGCTGCAGCAATGGACCGTTTGAGGAAAGTGATGTGTTTTCTGATCTTTAGAGCATGTAAAACATTTTAAATTACCCAAGTTTAAATTATGAAGCTGAATATAAGAAATAACACGTCTCCTATGATTAAGAGTTTTAGAGGTACTGGCAGGCTGATTTGAAGTGTTGAACTTTCTCTACAACAGTTGTTGAACACCCGCAGAGTTATTCTTGACTTGTTAATTTGTGATCTTTGGGATCAACCAGTTGACTAAACAGTCCCAACCCAAGGTTCACTACCCTGCTTGTTCTGGAGCTTTTGACTGTATCAAAGTCCTCATTAACAGAGTCTGCTCAGTTACCCATCAACCCGAAGAAGAGATCCCAGGTGCTCACAGTCATAGAACGTTGGAAAATACTCCCCTCCACAGAAACTGGTCTGACTCAGTCTGCTAATTAGGATTGTACGATATGGTCGGAAGCACCAGAACAAATGAATCAGGACAGAGACAGTTGTGGAGTTCTAAGGCACAGAGAAATTAGTCGTATCAGACTCATACCAAAGTGTGTACTTGGAGGTGTTAGTAGGATTAATGGATTACTGTGTTTGACATTTCATGGGATTTGTTAATTATAAAAAGAAAAACTGTGTGAACGTTCCCCATCCCTGTCTGCAATCACAGCTGCAGTGCAGCAGTATGCTATACAACACAGCCTGAAAAAATTATTTGTGTCATTTTCCAAACTTATTCCTGACTGAGATCTTTCCTTGTCCGTCTTGACCAGAGATTATTTTTCCACGTTTTATCGCCTGCAATTTCCTTTTCAATGAGCTGAGTTTTTTATCTTTTATTTTGTAGTGTTTCATGCGGGTTTTGATGAAAAGTAATACACATTCTGAACATAAGTCATGCGCTTGAACTGAAAGACCACACTCTTGAAAAATCCATACATTTCCACTTGTATTGCTGTTGACAGTGTTAAATTATTTTTGAAAGTTTGTAAATGTAGCGCTATAAACCTTGAATATCTGTACGTGTGCACATTTCATTGGACACCTTTGAGAATAAACACTGATTGAATACTATTTATTAGAATAAAGACTCCATGATTAGCTCATTTCACTTCCAACCTCTATGATAAGAAAGAGCAGCGGCTGGGTTTATTGAACACACGATGCTCATTGTTAATTCCAATCACACAACTTTGTCAGACACGTGAACATGCAGTCACCTATAGTATGTTAATTCAAAACGATTCTGACATGCAAGTCTATTTTCTTAATCTGGTTTTCAATGCAGGCCAGAGCTGGTGGCACAAAGGCAAAGCAGCATCAGTCATTTTCTGTATAAATCCATCAAAAACATCTCAAATGCCCGACTTTTGCATACACTTCACATAATCGCTGGTCTCAGCACATCACCAGGACGCAGCTACCATCCATTGAGGACCTCTACACCCAGCGTTGTAGGAAGGGGGCTCACAGGATATTAAAAGACCCCCATCACCCCAGCAACAAACTGTTCTGTCTGCTGCCGTACAGACGGTACCGCAGCATCCGGACCAGGACCACCAGACTCAGGGACAGTTTTATCCCACAGGCTATAAGACTGTTGAACTCCTGAGCTCTGTGAAGGTCACTACATCTGTTTATAGCAACATATTCATTTACAYATTATAATATTCATACACACAAAGAACTATATTTATTTATTTAGTTTATAATAATTCTCATTCTGTTACATCTTTCTATTCATCATATTTCTAAG